ATAACCAAATAGTATAATACAACAACTTTAACACTAAAATGAGAAGCTTTTTGATATCATTAAGAATTTTAACTAAGTCCAATAGGATTATAGTAATATTTTAATGCGAAGATCCATTTACAACCTTAGCAGCGACTATTAACAACCGAATGAGAGGGTATTAACAACCTAAGCAGTATCCGTTAACAACTTACTTTATAGAATTATATAACCTCCGCATAAGAGTAAATTATAACCAAATAGTATAATACAACAACTTTAACACTAAAATGGGAAGCTTTTTGATATCATTAAGAATTTTAACTAAACCCAATAGGATTATAGCAACATTTTAATGCGAAAATCCATTTACAACCTCAACAGTAAGTATTAATAACCTAAGGAGAACTATTAACAACTTTAGCAGTATCTGTTAACAACTAACTTTATCGGATAATATAACTTCTAACTATAACTAACTAAATTATAACTAAATAGTCTTAAAGTTAATCTTATATAGTTGTTAGAGGTTATATTATCCTATAAAGTCAGTTGTTAACAAATACTGCCTAGATTGTCAACAGCTCTCTTTGGATTATTAATACTCACCGTTGAGGTTGTAAATGGATCTTCACATTAAAATGTTGCTATAATCCTATTGGGTTTAGTTAAAATTCTTAATGATATCAAAAAGCTTCCCATTTTAGTGTTAAAGTTGTTGTATTATACTATTTGGTTATAATTTACTCTTATGTGAAGGTTATATGATTCTATAAAGTAAGTTGTTAACGGATACTGCTAGGGTTGTTAATGCCCTCTCATTGGGTTGTTAATAGTCGCTGCTGAGGTTGTAAATCGCAATGACAGAGGAAATGTGAATATGAAATATGAGGGGCAGTAATGTTATTTTACAAATCGAAAATATTACTCTGAGGTCCCTTGGGACCTGTCAGTGATTTTAACATTTTGTGAGACCTTAGATGAATAAATTGCCTTCTGTGGGACCTGTACGTAATTTTTCCTAAATATAATACTTTTCTAAAGGCATTTGTAATATCAATATGAACAAAAATTAAAATATGGAAGAAAATTAGTACAGTTTTTTTGTAGGAAAAAAAAATCCATGCTCTTTACCATTTTAGAATGGGATCTCTCTCTCTGTTTTTTTTGTTTTTAAATTTTATCATTAAATTAGTTTTTCTTTTGAACAAATGCCAAGTTTAAATCGATTTAACAAGAACGGGGTCACACCAAGTCTTCCATGAACGTGACATGTGATGAAACCTTTTCACTCAAGAATACGGAAGGTTACCATGGGAAGCAATTTTTTAAGACAAGAATACCCCTGTGACTCTTCCAAATTTGTCGATTAATGCCATAGGGGTAGTTACGCCTTTTCCCATTTTTGGCTTTCTTCTTACCTTTTCCATTCGCTCATACCAAACAAGCTCCGCTAATCATTCTCCGTTTCTTTCTTTTCATGCCAAAGAAAATATGGGCTTCCTTTTACTTATCATGATATGACATGGAAAATGCAATTTTTTTGTTTTTCTTTGTTTTATTTTTCAAGTTACAAAAAGAGGACATCATAAAAAAAAGATAATTGCTCCCCCTAGTCCTAAACACAGGATTTAGTTGGGGTATATGTTTTGATCTTAAATAAAAGATCATAATCCGTTTTGTCTATAAAATTTATAATATTTTCTCAAATTATTCCTATTGATTGTCTTTGTACATGAAAATTCTTTTCATAAATAGGATAATGATCAAATAAGTATTTTAGAAAAATTAACACATATTTATTATGAGTATTATTTAGTTAATTTTAATATTTATAAATTAATTATTTAACTCTTATATTCAAAATTAGAGACATCACGATATCATCAAACTTCAAACCAACAACAACAGCGTATGATTACAAATTACAAATAATATTATAAAGGGTGTGCCTGGTGGGGTTTACAAGCCAATCTTGGAGGCTCGTTCCCCACTAAAAGACTTGGGAAGCAAATTCGCCACCTTTTTCATGAAACACGAGACCCAAAAGTGATAGAAATTCTCAGTGGACATGACCAATCTTTACCTTATGTTTGAGAAAAAAATTTTGAAAAATGGCGTTTTAAAATTTTAATAAAAAGAATGTAAAATAAAAACATAAGAAACCTTAATTAAACTTTTAATTCCACTCCTTTAATTTTTTTTAATAAATTATATATTCCATCAAAGTCCTTGTGTGATCATCAAGCAACAGTGGACAAATCCCATTATTCCTTAAGGCTTTGTTTGGGTCAAGAGAGGGGAGGGGAGGGGAGGGGAGGGGAGGGTATAAGTTTTCTTTGGTTGGAGGGAAAGAGAATAGATGGGAGATTGTTTGTTTGGTTTAGAAAGGGAAGAGATGGGAGCTAATTATAAGTTGACAAATATATTCTTACCTCTTTATTTAGATTTCTTTATTATTTTATTATGATATTTATATCATAATTATTATTTTCTAATTTGTGAACATAAAAAACCTAGATACCTTGAGACATAACAAATAGATTATAAATAATCATATATCAAAATAAATGTCAATAAAAAAATTATGATCTTTAGCATATTATATAAATTATAAATAAATTTATGCTACAAGTTTTGAACTATTCTATCCTTAATTATATAACGTGCACAACTTAACATACTTAATTAGATAACACATAGAATTTTGTGTAAAAAAATGAAATTGAATTAAAATAGATATATATGGAAACGTATATCAATGAATTTGGAAGATTAATAGCAAAGAGCGTTGGAAGATCTCAACGACTTTAATTCATATAAACCAATAAAGAATAGCTTTATACAGAACAAATAAATAAATAAATAATACTGATAATACTTATAAGATGAATGAAATGAAGGATCAGACAAGAGGAAAAGATATAGAAGATTCATGGCAGAGAGCATGGGAAATGATGAAATCAGAAAAAGAAAATATGCAGGAAAAAGAAGAACATCCGAGGAGTGAAAAAAAATCCGTAGAAGAATAGTAGAGGCTAAAAAGAAAAAAAGTAAAAAAAAGCAAAGAGCTAAAAAAAAAAGTTGTTACTGAAAAAGATAAACTTGAAATATTAAAAATTTAACATGGGTAATTTAGTAAGAATGAGGTATAATATTTCACTCCTCTCCAAAAAGCCTCAAATTTGTAGGGGAGCACAAAAAGGGGAGAAGAGCACTAAAAGACGAAATTTTTTTCCTCCCTTCGCTTCTATTTTTTTGAAGTAAACACAATTTCTCCTCCCTTCCCATTCCCATCCTCTCCCTCCAAAAACCTTCCAATCAAACAATGCCTAAAATTCTCAAAGTCATCAACATGATTACTATCAGAAATTTTGTATAAGCAAGGTAAATATGGGGCCATAGGATCTGTCCAAAAGTCTATATATATATATATATATATATATATATAGACATGCCACTCCCTATGGTCCCTACTTTCCAGCAACACATGCATGACATCCATCTCACTGTTATTTACTTTTGTTCTCGTACATAATGGGGTTTAAGGCTTAAAATTTTTAATTAGTATAAAAATAAATATTTTGAAAGGTTCGATTATTTTGGCCGTACATTATTGTGATGCTTCTTTTTTTTCCCTTTTTTTTGGGGGGGGGGGGATTATCCAACAAATCATCGTCGTTGTTTTCTTGAATGCCCATTCTTCCCTTTCTCTTTCTAAAAAATACTTATTCTCCGCACGCTCTTGAGGAGCTAACGGACAAGTTTGAAATCTAAAATTGCACAAAAATGATACACTATATTTTATCTGACACTTAAATAATATTATGGTCCCAACGTTTTAAATTTTTAATTATAGTACTTGAAAGGAGGAAAAAAGACTATATATATATAATCCTAGTCTCTCTATCACACACCTACTACTTATGATAATTTTTTTTTTTAAAAAAAAGATCTAAGCATCATTATCGAGCTCCATTATATTGACGCATTTCCAAGTTAATATTCTTTGAGATCAATGATGTATGATTTTGACTAATCGATAATAAAATAAAAGTAATATATTCAGAAATATAATTATTGTCTGCAAGGGCCATCCATTTATAGGATAAGAAGTTCTCTGTATGATCATCAACTTGTTCGTCCCAAGCTTCATATATACGCACCCATCATTCACAGAAACTTATTCACTTCAAACAACCACCACGTCTAAAAGTTATGAATACTCCACTAAGTTTCTATCATTTCAGTGTATTATCTTCTCCATATTCTTCTTTCTTGTTGCTTCCTTTACATTTTCTGTTTCCGCTGCCATTGAAGATGGTGAAGCAAAAGCTCTGTTGAGCTGGAAAGCCAGCCTTACTGAGCGAAGCCAAGCAATGTTGTCTTCGTGGAATAATGGCACTAATCTTTGCAGAAACTGGAAGGGAATTTCATGTGATGAAGAATCCATATCTGTGATCAATATAAGTCTGTCAAATCTTAGCCTACAAGGTACACTTCACAGTCTCAGCTTTGCTTCATTTCCTAGTTTGCAGTATTTTGACCTGGGTTACAACCAATTTTATGGAAACATTCCCTAAGAGATTGGTAACCTGTCCAGTATTTTGAGGTTCAATTCGTCGGAGATCCTTTAATTACTGGTCCCATTCCTAAAGAAATAGGAGCTTTGAGCACTCTCAGTGTTCTTGATCTTAGTGTATGTAAGCTTATGGATAGAATTCCCAGTGAAATTGGGAACTTAAGGAACCTGACGAATCTAGTGCTTGCTCAAAATTCTCTTTCTGGTTCCATTCCAGAAGAGATTGGAATGTTGAGTAATCTTTTACGACTTGATTTGGCTAGAAACTCCATGTTATGTGGTAGAATCCCATCATCAATTGGAAACTTGAACATGTTACAAGAACTTTATATTGATTTTTGCAATCTCTCTGGTCCTATACCAAATGAAATTGGAAAACTCGATTCTCAAGACAATTTATTTAGAAAGCAATAAACTTTATGGGTCAATCCCTCCCTCTATGGGGAACTTGACAGGTCTCGAGGAGTTGGTCTTGTCAAATAACAGTCTTTCTGGTTTAATTTCTCAATCCATTGGAAACTTGATCAATTTACAAGAAATCTATCTAGAATATAACAATCTTTCAGGACCTATTCCTTCCACCATAGGAAACTTGACAAAGCTCGACACTCTAGTATTGATTGAGAACAACCTCAGTGGTCAGCTTCCTCAAGAAATGAACAACATAAGTTGGTATAATTTACAACTGGGTAATAATCATTTCCAAGGCTAGCTGCCACAAGAAATTTGTCAGGGTGGGACGTTGATTAGGTTTGTTGCTCAAAATAACCAGCTCATTGGTCCTATTCCAACTAGTTTGAAGAATTGTTCTAGTTTAAGAAGACTTAAGCATCAGGGTAACCAACTAGTTGATAATGTAACAGATGTTTTTGGAGTATATCCTGATTTGAATTTCAATGATGTAAGTGGAAATCAATTGTATGGCCACCTTTCATCTAGTTGGGGGAAGTGTCAAAATCTCAAGCAATTGTATGTTAACAATAACAAGCTTTCTAGTGATATACCACCAGAACTAGGGGAGGTAGCTAAGCTTGGTGAACTTGACTTGTCTTCAAATCATTTGTCTGGACAAACTCCAAAAGAACCAGGCAAGTTGATAATGTTGACAAAACTATTTTTGAGCCACAATAACTTCTCTGGTAATGTCCCCTCAAATATAGGATTGCTTACTCAACTTGAAACATTAGAGTTGGCAACAAATAATTTCTATGGCTCAATCATAAGAGAGCTTGGGGAATTAAAAAGCTTAAGGTTCTTGAACTTGAGTAGAAACAAATATGATAGAAGTATTCCCCTTGAGTTTGGTCAACTCCCAGTGCTTGAACAACTTGATCTTAGTGACAATTTGCTCAATGGAAAAATACCATCAGCTCTTGGTGTGTTACCTAAATTGCAAATATTGAACCTCTCACATAATGATCTCACTGGCGCTATTCCTTCCAGTTTTAGTGGATCAATGTCAACTTTGACTATTATTGACCTATCAAATAATCAATTAGAAGGCCTTGTTCCAAAGAAACCATCCTTTCAAACATTTGAAGGATTGAAGAATAATAAAGATTTGTGTGGTAATGTCACTGGCTTACATCCTTGTAGTAATTCTCAAATGAGTCCTAAGAGCAAAATCTTCTTGAAGATATTCCTCCCATTGGCCATACTACTACTAGTAGTGGTTGGAGCTTCTTTTATCTTTCTCCTACATGCAAGAAAAGCAAAAATCAAAGATGTAGAAGTACAATCACAGGACATTTATTTTGTATAGAGTTCTGGTAGAGAATATTGTATGAAAATATCATTGAAGCCACAATGAACTTTGATGATAGATATCTCATTGGGAAAGGTGGCCAAGGAAGTGTTTATAAGGTTGAGTTGCCTACAGGTGATGTTGTTGTTGTAAAAAAGCTTCATTCCTTACCAAGTGGGGAAATCTCTAACAAGAAAGCTTTCACAAGTGAGATTTGAGCTCTGACAGAAATCAAACATCGCAACATTGTGAAGTTGTATGTGTTTTGTTCCAACTCATGATTCTCCTTTCTGGTTTATGAGTTCTTGGAAGGTGGCAGCTTGGACAACATACTAAAGGATGAAGCCCAAGCCACTAAAATTGATTGGAGAAAGAGAGTGAATTTTGTTAAGGGTGTCGCTAGTGCTTTATTTCACATGCATCATGGCTGTTCATTTCCTATTGTTCATCGTGATATATCAAGCAAGAATGTACTTCTAACTTCAGAATATAAAGAAGCTCACCTCATTGACTTTGGAATAGCCAAGTTTCTGAATCCTAACTCAAACAATATGACCACATTTGTTGGTACCTTCGGGTACACTGCTCCAGGTAAGGATAATTTCTTCTTTTGCTTTTCTCCTAAGGCACTTTACACTCTTCGTCGTATTAAGGTTGTAACATTAAAACTATTGTAGAGATTGCTTATGTTATGGAAGCAAATGAGAAAAGTGATGTTTACAGCTTTGGAGTGTTGACTTTGGAGATCGTTATGGGAATGCATCCAGGAGGGCTTATTTCATCTTTGATGAAGAAATCAACCACATATGATTTGCTCTTAAAGGATGTGTTGGATCCACGACTTCAGCACCTAGAAAATCAATCATTGATGAGGTTATTACAGTTGCAAAAATAGCATTTTCTTGTTCGAATGAGGATCCTCGTTCTCGTCCAACAATGGAACAAGTATCTAAGGAGCTTGTATGGCAGCCAAAGTCTCACATGGGAGTACCATTAGTCACCATCAAAATTGGACAACTAATGAATGATTAAACTCATTAATTAATTAGTCATTTCTGTCTCTGTTGACATGTTAATGAACATAATTAATTGTAAGCTCTCAAAGATCATTTGTACCATATGTATGATCAGTTACGTTGCTTGAATTAAGTGAATGTTTGCTTTGATCATTATATTTTTCACTTTTATAGAATATACAATAGATGACAATATTTAACACTTCCAAATGTTTTACTCTAAAAATTTTGGGGACATCTTAAAAATTTTAAAATGTTATGCTTTACTTAAAGTGATAATACATAATTACTAACTTGTTAACTCGCTGGCACTAACGTTCATTGTTCCAACGAAGTTAGCAATGTGTTAGGTAAATAGAATCAAATACCTTAATTTATTAATTATTTTACGGGTATAAACAATATGTTGTAAATATTATGTTGTGTGGATGTTCATAACTCCTTAGCCCATTGGGATTCCTTCTCATGGTTAATGGCATTATACCTTATAACTCCCAAATTGAAGGGTTTCAAGTATTGATTTCCTATAACCTCCAATTGTACAATTATGTTACTTAATTCCTTTCTTTATGTACTTGTAACTCTTTAGGTTAGTCTTTAATATTGGGGTCCTATAAATAGGAGATGATGTACACACATTTGAGACAATGAAATGAATGAGAACTCCCCTTAATTTCTCCTCCAATTTCCTCTTATTTTCTCCATCTCCCTCATCTCAATCTTTGTACTTTTCTCATTTTTCACAACACGTTATCAGCACGAGTTTACTCTAAAGATTTGAGGTATGAGCCCTTTGTAAATTAATATATTCTTATAGTATATGATAATATTTTCTACTAACTTCTCCTTACCCAATTATTCTTTTTATCTTATTATCACGTCTAATTTTAATTTTCTATATATTTGCTATATATTATGTTGTTCTTTTATGTTATTTATTAATTTATTCTTTTTATACATTTTAATTCTATTATCTCCCCCTACATGCATACCTACATAAACTTATTTTTACCAATAAAATTATAACACGTAATATTGACAATATATATAAATATTATTATAGAATAAATATATGAGACTTCTAGTCTATTTAGTTGAATATATTTTGCAGAAAAAATTATCATAACAAAATCAATCATTTTGCAATCATTGATGCATTCAATAACTTGATCTACAAGTCAAGGAAGATACGAAATTATTTATTTTCTAATACATTTTTCTAAGTCAGATATGTATAATCAGATTATCTTATTCAACATAATATTTTAAGCATTGGATGATTTTCTTCTATATAAATGCTTCTGGCATTTTAAATCCCTCAAGAATTCTCCTGTAAACTTCATTATTTAGTGAGCCACATGTATAGGCTATAACGATATCTAACAAACGCATATTTCATTTTTCATATACTGCCAAACTAGTAATATATGCAAAAATTATTGCATCCATCACAAAATATTATGCCTAATTATAATCACTGGACCTTTGTGAAATTCTTTATTTTCACAAAAATATTCATATGTCACATAATAATTTTGTCTTTGATGTGTTTGGACTGCAGGTCCATAATTTTCACATATTAAAATAATAATTATATTTCCATTGCATCTTTTCTCCTTTCTTTTTGCTTTTTTACTTTCATATAAGATCCTCTTTAAAATCACGTGATATCTCCCCATTGTGATATTGTGTTATTTATTTTATTTATTTTTCCATACTTCTTGTTCTATTGTTTGTTTACATATATCTGTTTGGTTTATATTATGTCATTTTATATCTATCGCATTATTATATATATATATATGATTATATAATGTTATTTATATTTGATTATGAATTTTAATTTATTTCATTACAATATTATTTAATTTCATTTTATTAAATGACTAGAAGCTATATGTGATTAGATGACTAGAAGTCATATCACTTTTGCAATTGTTCTTTTGTGAAAGAACACTATGGATACTTTTAAATGGAATGACAAGAAAAATCTATGGCACTTTGATGATTTGATAGTGACAAATATTAAAACCCTGAAAGCTACATGGTGACAAGTATTGAAACCCTGAAGGCTACATTGTGACAAGTATCAAAGCCCTGAAGGCTAATAGTTCAAACATCAAATGGCATAAAAGAGCTTTATTTGAAAGATTTTTACTATAGTCCTAAAGACTAATATTTGAATAAATTGATTATGTGCTACTGAAAGTAAGGAACATGTCTATAAGAGTGATAAAGAGCATGCCCACATTGTACTGTTGGAATTAATAATTAAAGGGCAATAATATTTGATTTTAGCTGTTAAACCATAATTGAGGAGATATTGATACCTCTATAGTCAAAAACAATTATGAGTAAATATCATAATATGACCAGAAGTCATATAGACAAATATATGTACCAATCTATTGAAAGTAAATGTTAAAATTGGTTATGAAATCAAAAGATTAAGAGATATTATGAAAAGTATGAAAATGTAGTTATAATGTCCAAGGTAATGTCTTATAGAGAAATATGTTCAAATTAGTCAAAGTTGAAAAATATAATCATTAGCCTAGAAGGCTATATCCAAAAGGTTATATAATATTATTTTAAATTTCTTGTGATTGATTGGTAGAAATATATTATTATTAGTATTTGATATTAAGATATTGATAAACATTAAAAGCAGTTATTGGTCACTTTGAAATGTTAATTTATGGTGCCAATTTACTTGCATATTTATGAATATGAATTGTGAATATAATTTATTTTCATATCAATAGAATAGCAAAAAAAAAAAGGTCATATTATGATATTGGTACTTTATTGTGCTATTTGTGCACAAATTAAAGAGATGATATATTGTTCATATTTTGTTTATTTATATGCTATTTGTATGATCTTAGTTTGAATGATTTATTGTGATTTATTGACAATAAATTTTATTGTGAGCATTTGAAATTGTTTTGAGTTTAACTAAACAAGAAATTAGTTGAGAAAGAAAAGTTAAGTATTCATACAATGTGTAAGTAATTTTTCAAAAGATATATTTTGAGTATTACAAATTAAATAAATAATATATATTAATATTAAGAAGTTTTGACAATAAGTTCAACTTTACACTTTATTCTCAGAAAGTTTATTTTAAAAGATATTCTATATTTGTGTTCTTTTTAATTATATGAGTTTGTTTATGAGAATAAATTAAACATGAGCAAATGATAATTATAGTTTAAAAAATTATGATTATTGGATTAATTCAAACATTATTTAATTCTTTAAGTTCATAAATTTTGAAGAAGTATAAAAGAAAATTGTATATCTACAATTAAATTAGTTTTTGCTATGACATTTGAGAGAAAAAAATCATATATTTATGTCACATTTGAATTGAGAAAATAGAAATTTATTTAACTTTATGAGAAAATTTATTATAAATAGTTGATATTAATTTCGATTGGATGGACAAAATCATCTTTGCAGTATGTGTAAATTCTATATATATTACAAGTTAAACTTATGATACTTATAACTATTTATTATTATGTATTACGATATTATTAAGATGAATTTGTCTCCTATTCTTCTCAAATTACTTAGTTCCTGAAGAATTATGTGTAAAGATATTAATATAGTTCTTGAAGAACTAATACATATTTTTCTTTATGGGCAGATAAAGAATTAATGGTAAAAAAATATGACCTATTGATCTACATTAGAACTTCGGTTTCGAAAGAGTCTGAAAAGTAATAGCCTAATTGAATTAAAATCCATAATTATATATGAACTAGGAAGTACTTGGACTTCCAAGTGATAGAGGTTATTAGCCTATTATATGCTAGTCACTGTTTTTGAAATACATGAATAAGGAAAACATGTTTTTATGACTCACACTTGAGGGGGAGATTGTTGAAATACAAGTGTGAGTTGATGTTGGATAGAGTTTTACTTGAAACTTGTTACAGTAAACCAGAAGTTTACTCGCCTAATTAATGTATAGTTGGGGTGGCTTGTCTGATTATCATAAATAATATATTTGATGTAACAAATTATTGATGATTATATATAGACATTCATTGAAGAACCAGAAGATTCTTCATGAATAGCCAACATATTATATGATCCAAGAATTCATATGCTGCTTATTCTCAATGAAAAATTGATTACATTGATATCACTAGTTATGATGTAAAATGGATCTCTACATTTATGGAAATATA